TTCTTCTTCTCTTCCTTAGTGTACCTCGATTACACGGACATGTGTGCGCACCTTCTTCACAACTTTGGCTACTGTAGCATTTTTTTTACCTGTGACAAATTTAACCCAACACAATTCTTGAGAACTGTGAGGCTTACTGTAGTGATGGGTTGTATGCAGAATGTGACGTATTCCATTTCACTTGTTATCTGTAGGAGATTGAATGACAACCTATTGACACAAGTAAATCAACCCACTTTCCACAATCTTGGCGCACTACAAACCATGTGAGTTTGCTGTGTGTTCTTGATGTCCAACCAATGTCCTCTAACTCTCGGTGTGTCTCTCCCTTCCTCTCTTTTCTCTCTCTCTATTTCTGTGTGTCTGGTCTTTTTTATATGAAAGCTTTATCCATCTAAACCGATATGCATATTACTTTTACCGTAAAGTCCGCTGCAAACGCCCACTTCGCAGCAAACGCCCACTTCGCAGCAAACGCCCACCCCAGCGGGTCCATACTAATTTCGTCTTTTTCAGGTCAATATAGTTGTAAACAACTGGCATGAAGGCCGAATGCGTACGAGAGCGACTGTAATGCCTACAAACTGCATATGTCTTACCAGGCCGGAGGCTGTGCAAAAGCGATTGTCATAATTTTGCTGCAAAGATAAACTTATAGAAAAGGGAAAGACCAAGGAACTGCAAGTTACGCTATACTGAGTCCAAAGATAAACTGTCGAGATTTCCTTTCATTCGACAACATTTAATGAGCGGTCTTTGTTGTTACTTCGTTGTCCATGCGGTGATGCCACAGAATCCATCTGGTTTTGAAATCATGAAATTTCTGCATGGCCACGATGTAGCGCTTTCAGAACGGAACGGTGATTGTTCTGACGAGGTGTCATTCAACGACTTGACCGGGCGCAGTATTGCAGTTGCAAGTCGAACAGGGGGGATGTCACAGAAGCTACACCTACAAAGTCACTGCTAATTTGTTGAAAACTCTGAAGTGCTTGAGAAAAACTAGGGCTGAGTCGGGTAGCATTTTCTTCGGGTGTCGGGTCCGGGTAGTTTTCCACGGGTAGCACGGGTACCCGATCGGTTAATGTTTCCATGGTAAGACCACAATGCACACCGGCCCCTTCCCTTGCGCATTGGGTAGACATGCGTGAATTATTTGTACACGTGCACTGGACATGATGTCATCTGCGACCTCGGGTTTCGGGTACTATTCGGTACCCGACTACCCGAGGTCCTCACGGGTAGCACGGGTACCCGACTACCCGTGCACACCACTAAGAAAAACCCTTGCCGTTGCGCGCTGCGTGATTTCAATTTTGGAAATAATGGCTTGAAACATTTTAGGTTCCCGCAATACTCTGTTCTTCGCTACCTTGTTATTCGAAAGAAACTCCCGTTTGGATTTGCGACATAAGACAACCATCATCATTAAATTACTAGGAGCTAGCTCGTACCTGGTGCCCAAAGGGATTTAGAAACCAGGAAAGTGGACATAGTTTACCGTAGCAACACCCTCTTCCCACTATGGTGTGAGATGCACTTTTGTACAGTAGGGTGACAGTACATGAGGTCAGTGTGTACAGGCCAGCAGATCTTGCAAAAATGGGGTGGGCGTTTGCAGCGGACTTTACGGTACATAACGAATCATACCCGTTCTTGGGTTACGGCTGTCAATCGCCTCATTTCCCCCACTAATTTAAGCGATTCACAAAGGGTTAACACAGTGCTCTATGACATCGCTACTCTACGTGGAATGAATCCTGAGTGCTCATAATGGGTGATAGCAAAGCGAGGTGCGGACAAGAGCGTACTTCTGAAGAATAGGCGAAGAGGAGACTATAACTTTATTAAGGCGATAAATAGTATAAGCGAAGCGGACATTACGAAATGATCAATGAGAATACATGTATCAAAAATTAATGTTCCTTATAGATTTTCTTGAGACTATCATCAGAGAAAAATCGTCTCACAATAGAAGCTATGCGGAGAAACAAACTACTTATACGTCTATAGGATAGTGGGAAGCATACAAGGTGAGGTGTGAAAAAAATGTCACAAAACTGAGACTGTTCACTTAGCATGCACACACGTATTCATTCGCATACACCTACACCTCACATTTCCTCACTCTATCACATTCACCTGCTTCCACACCTTCATTTCACCCACCTTTTGTAGTAGCTCACACCGTCGGAACACTCTCACATCTTTTCTTCTTCTTTTTTTCGTCTTCTCTCCCACTTTAGTTTTTTTTCACACCTCACCTTGTATACTTCCCACTATCCTTTTGACCTATAAGTAGTTTGTTTCTCCGTATAGCTTCTATTGTGAGACGATTTTTCCCTGATGATAGTCTCAAGAAAATCGATTAGGAACATCCATTTTTGAAACATGTATTAATTTTCGTAATGTTCGCTTCGCTTATACTATTTTATCGCCTTAAAAAAGTACTTCTGCTGGTACAGCACACTTGGGTGCAAGTCACCCATTTCTTTTGTCTCGGGTGTGCAACTTACCGCTAAGAAAAGTGTACTATGGCTGTGCCAGTTTGTCATTTTCGTTAGCCTGATTCCAGTGCCAGTGTGCGAAAATGTCTACGAAGCATCGCCGTCGGAACGTATTCTACATTGGTGCGACTATGAAACGGCGGGGTTTCGGGGGCCGTCCGTCGGGAAAATGTCAGGAAACTTGGTCTAAAGAGAGCCCATTTTTCATTTCTCCAGAAATCACGGGATAAAATCATTGGTGCGCCTTTGGCCGCAGCTGCTGAACGGGATCCTATACCCCTGGGTGTTGAACCTAATTTTCTGGAACGGGTACAACCAGTAAGAGAGCTGGATCCGTTGTCTAAGGAATTTCAGTGATTCTTTGAAAGAGAGGATTTCAGGGAGCACTCTCGGGAAGGAAAACTGCCAATGGGTAGACAGAAAAACTCATCCTTACGTGACACGTGATCGTTGCCAAGGCCATGCCCAATAGGCGGTCTTCCAGCCGCGGGCATAATCAGGCCATCATGCCCGACTAGCGTCATACCGGGAAAAGATCGACTTTTTGACCTTTGACCTTCCCTAATATGTTCCTTCATGTTTTACGAAATCAAATCAAGCACGCTCAGGAGGTCATGATGGCTGAATATTGCCCGAGCATGCAGCCCTCGGGCGCAGGCTCATGCAAGATCCAGCCATCATGACCTCCTGAGCGTGCTTGATACATCGTTAAAAATGCTAATCAAAAATGGAAAAAAAGACTGCCACTAAATTGAAAACATGAAGAACAGTGGGGCACAAGTTACGCGTAAGTGTCCGCCGACTAGACCAGCTATCGAACAGGCCGACTTCAGTTTAACCCTTTACCGGTCTACCACAAGCGAGCCGATACTATATTTGATATTTGATGATTGCCTATGGGCATGAAACTGTTAGTTACAACGAGTAAAGCGTGGTGCTCTGTGTAGTGTGTACAATGCTTCTATTCAAATGGATGGTGAGCACTCTTACGAGCCGGAGGACTCATTCGTCGGGTAATCCTAAAAAAAGAAGAAAAAAAAAGGTGCCAGGTGTTGTTTTTACACAATGTCAAGATTCGAGAAGCCTCCAACTGCGATCATTACTGAGAGCTGGAAGAGATCGACCAGTGTGCATGGCCTGACAGATACAGAACTTCGAAACGAATATGCTGCGTCTGTTTTGCGCGTGTGCTGTGTTGTACAGACTTCTAGGTAATAACAGGTTTGCGGATGCTGCTAAATTGAAGATGTCACACGGCGAGGTTAGCATGCTGTAAGTACCCAGCTTCATGATCTTCTGTTTTTCAACTACAGTCAGTATCGCCTTTAGCGTTGGTGTTTGATTTTGAGCATTTTATCACTGTAAACGAGATATTACTATGTCCGAAACTGCATGCAATGTATGCGAGTGGGGTGTCAAATGACTCAGCGCCCTGTACACATACATACTGCGTAGCTGGCTACAGCTCCTGACACGCAACACCAGGATTTCCTCACGATGGAGGCTTATTTTGGCAACTTGTACAAGCAGAACTCACCAAACAACACTCAACTGGGACAAGTTCTTCACGAAGAAGTAACACCCTGTTCTCCTCTGACACCACTTGATTTTACATCAATCACTATAACCGATGCAAAAATAATGTAATAATTATAGGTCTTTTGAAATATGAATTTGATCACTATAGGCGATATATTACTATAAGCGATTATTACTACACGCGATAACTGTGTATACTTAGTTATGGCAAATGAAAATGAATTTGAGAAATTGATCACTATAGCCGGTATGTTACTATAGCCGCCAACCTTTTAGGCGAGACTGACTGTATTGACATATTGCTGGTGTTGTAAGATATTCCACCCAGCTTACTCTGGCTGGCTACAGACCAGTCATAGCCTGAGTTTGCTAGCAATTCTTTGAGCAAAATATCGGATGCGCAAGTTGCCGGCAAGTTTCAAGCAAAATATCGAGTTTTGGTGGGCTTTTCGGAAAATCCAAGGCTTCTTAGGGACTTTCCCAACACAATCAGTCACCAAGGTTGAAAACGAGCATAAAAGTAGGACAAAACAGACTCGTGGCTACATTTTCGTAGAAAGTTGAGCAGCAGCAGGAGCCCAATCAAAACTTCCGTAGTCATCAGCGACAGTGATTGTAGATTTTTCCTTGAAACTCATTTTATCTCGAGCAAAATGAAAGCAAAATATCGACAGAGAAAGGAAATGCCGAGCAGAATATCGATAATCTTGCAGCAAAATTGTGCGGCAAAATATCGATATGGGCAGAGCAAATTTGGGCCATGACTACAGTATTGACCTGTTCAGCTGATTGCCTGTTTAAAGGGGAAGTCCGGGGAAAATTTTAAATTTCAGGGTCGGTAGAGTTTCGGGCGCTGAGTCGAATGGTGTTGGTCCAACGTGTCTCCGACAAAGTCTCGAGATATTTCCGTTTGAAAAACTGAGTTTGGTTGCTGCGCCATGATGTTATGCGGCCGCGCCACACCCTCCGCAGCGTCACAGCGTGCAGCTAGGTCAAAAGGAGTGCATGAAAGCAATAGTGTCAATGCTATTAGGGATCTCAGCGCGTGCAGTGCGCAGGGTGTTTGCGCATACATTGCGTCATCGAGTTTTGAGTGCAGCTCGCGGACACAGCAGAAAAATGGCGACGGTCGATTTTCGACACTAGGGGACGCGGTGGACACTAGCGGAATCGTCATCTTCATCGTCGTTCGAACATACTTTGTAATTCCCGCCGAAGGACAGCATGGCCAAGGCGATATTGCCCCTGTCGATTTTCCTATAATTTTCCATGCGGCAAGAACCCACTTCAGAGAGGATTCAGTCAAAAATTCAGACGTTTTCTCCGGTTAGATTGTCCTAACTTCGATTTTCAGTGCATCAGCCATCGCGAACATCGCCGCCATTATCACTCGGAGAGAAGACATCGCGCTCAGTAGAAGAGGTGTTCACGCTGCGTCCAAGAGTGAAAGATTTTGCTCTTTGACCCTCCATAGTTCCTCTGAGAGAGTGTCTGGGAGATAGGTAGCTTGGAGATGGCCGTAGAACGTGCTTTCCTGGACGCAATATTCATCCATTTCTACTGTCTTCTTCAACTTGATTTATTTCGAAAAAAATGTTCTTTTCCACGATTTCTGCACTGGACGCGTTTGGGATCGAAAATCTCACCTGCGCAGACTGGCTGCGCAGTTCACGCGCTGAGATCCCTAATGCTATTTCAAATGATTTGGCGACCGATAGTAGGTGGTGCAAGCAACCCCGAAGACGTAACTCCATGTGAGAGTGAGGATGCAGCCATGGCCGACCTTCATGAGTTCGGTCTGGGGCTGAGAACCTCGGTATTCAGCTGAAGAAATGGCCACCCGGGCCGGTCAAGAGTAAGCGCTGCTGTGTTTCCGACTGATGAAGAAGCAGCAGCTATTGCAGACGAGGCTGACCGAATAATCAGATCTCTGGAGAGTAGAGTCGTCAAAATGGAGAAGAGTGATGCGAGTGCTCTAAATGTTGTTCCATACCGATTCGCTTGGACTCCAGTAGCCTGCAACATGGTGATGTTTTGGTGCGAACTTGGCATATTTCGGGCTACTCGATTGGAGAATAGTGCAGGCTCTTTGAACCACAGGCACGACTCTTCGCTCGCAACACTACGGGATCTGAAAGTTTTAGGTACGGGAGCTGTTCACTGTTTTGTCACTTGTCATGGTTGTGCACTCATCGCTGTAGCATAAACGTTTTATGCTACAGCGATGAGTGCACAACCGTGACAAGTGACAAAACAGTGAACAGCTCCCGTACCTAAAACTTTCACATCCCGTAGTGTAATAATGAGGTGGGACTATTCCATGCAAATTCGGAAAACCAAAATTTTCTTTCTCAAAGCACAACCACCGGCACTGGCAAGGAGAAACGTATGTTACCTGACTACATGACAGAACATACAACTGATACGAGTGTAGTACATGACAAGTCCGCGTGTTGACTAGTTCTTTTGAGTCTTGTGACTCGAGTCTTGTAGTAACTACCCTAGCACGGCAGTCAGGAGTAGTTCCGTGTGTGATGAGTTTGTTGACTACGAGTACTCGTACAGATAGCATGCACGCAGCGCAGAGGTAGAGGCCAGTGCGGACGGAAAACGTCCAACTCGGAAACGGCTAAAATACAGGATAACCTCGAGGTTTGCTGAACTGAAAATCACAGGGTAGTGTTTGTAACACTGAATGGAATGGTCTTGGTCAGAAGAAGCTGCGACAAACGGTTCCCCAATCGAACGCGCTCCGAATATGGCCATTTTGTACACAACTAGATGGTGTGGCTACCTGGCTGCACGCTGTGACGTCATCACCTGGATCTGGGTGATGTGCGCTCAAATTCAGACATGTTCGATTGGGCGTATCTGACGAACCATAGGCCGCAGCCTCCTCGGACAAAAACCATTTGACCCAGTGTCCCGAAACCTACGGACTCTGAAATTTAATTTTTTTCACCTTACTTCCCCTTTAACGCCTCGTCATAGCTGCAGGAAAAATCAATGTGCATCTCTGCTCCTGCCCTGCCCTGCTGTACACTGCCATGCCATGCCCTGTACTACCCTGCCCTGTCCTGCCCTACCCTACCCTGTCCTGCCCTGCCCTGCCCAGCCCTACCCTGCCCTGACATACCATGACAAACCCTACCCTGCCCTGCCATGCCATATCCTGCCCTTCCATGCAATGCCCTTACCTGCCATGCCTTGCACTTCCCTATACTAACAAGTATGACGTGTATTGATTTCAAGACGATTCCAGGCACACGTACATGTGCACACGCACGCACGCACGCACACACACACACACACACACATACACACATATACACACACGCACACATGCACACGCACACCTTCACACATACGCACACACACAGAAGCACCCCCCCCCCTCTATCTTGATAAATGCTCACGCGAACGATGTGGGACGGCACGAACTCCAGAAAAACGATTCACGCTCCGGGCCGGAATAGTGCAGAGCGCGATGAATTTGTTTGGTGCGGTAGAGAGCTCCGACAAAGTCTGAGACCACCAGGGCTTCAGAAACAAGTAGACATCACGCAGGAAGGGTCGCACCAATGTTCGAACACAGAAAGCAGCGATTCCGGCAGTCTGGCTAAGACGAGCCAAGTCACTAGGGGTGAAAGTTAGCACTGAGATCCCGAGTTCGAGTAATCTGATCTTCTCCCATCGATGAGTATTCGCGTATTCTTCATCTCCTAAAAATTGCACGCCAAGGGCCCTAAAATCGCATGATACAACCCTGATTGAAGCGAGTGGCAGTCATATTTCTCGGGTATATTGGTTGGTGGGTCGTTTGGGCTGTCTACGCTCATGAACAAATGTTCACCACACAGTCTGCACATCAATATCTGCCGACTGCTGCTCTGAAACTGCAGATTTCTGTGGTAACTGCATGTACCATGTATGAACGAGTACTCTGATTTATTACGAGTACGATTATGATTGAAAAAACCGTGCGAGTATTCGAGTATTCAGTATAATTGTTTCACCCCTAAATGTTAAGGACGCGGAGGAAGTATGGTTGTGGTAGTGCGCGCGGTTGTGGTAGTGTGCTGGGTTTTGGTGGCAACAACCGTTTTTGTCTGTGACTGTGGTGACAATAGCAATGTCTTAGGTAATTTCATTTGTTGTATCTGCTTGTGTGTGTTTTTTGTCAGTGACCTCTCTCATAACGCATTGACGTCATTTCCGTCAGATATGGTTTTCTCTAAATTAGCCACCCTGTAAGTCATCCTGTTAGTAAGGTAAAACCTCTTAAAATATGGTGGTAAAGACACGCCTGGCAATATGGTGGTAAAGACACGCTGATGAGTCCAGCGGATACGAAACGTACTTCGCAATCGAGCTATGTTGTTGTTGTGTCATCTTCTATGTGCCATGCGCTACTTAATGTACCAGCCTGCTATGTCGGATGCCACCAACCATGCCAACCATGCATCGACTAGGCACCAGGCGCGAACTGATGGTGGTGGTGGTGGTCAGAAGGAGAGCTCTGTGCCAGAACTTTGCACCTTAGAGAGCGTGTGTGGGCAGGCGTGTGTTTACCGCCATATTGCCAGGTGCGTCTTTACCACCATATTCATCAACCATGAGTACAGCTGCAGTGGTGTCTTCAACTTGATTAAACCTGAAAAAGACCATCCTGAAAGGAGACCACCCGCCCCAGGCCACTGCAGATAGGACCAAGACACGTTTCTTCCCAATCACAAGCCTGGTTCACACTTGATGCAACCCTGACGGTACGGGATGTAAGCGCCTGTTCGGACGGCTGGAGTGAGCTGTGACATCTTGTACGATTCATACAACACGATATGCAGCAGTTTTTGCGATGCTGAACGTCAAACGACGCGAGTCATAAGGCACGGTTCATCTCGGGGTGGTTTTCGAGCCTAATTTCTTGTTTTTCGGGACTTCTTTTCAACTATTACTCCTTGCATGAAGGGGAATCAAGTTCACAATTCCAATTTTCTTGATGACCAAAAAAAGTAGTCCAGAAAGTTGTGCCATTTTAATACTAGTCCCAGGAAATAATCAAAAACAGTTCGATTATAGTCAACTTCGCTAATACCGACTGCGGATGTAAGTTATCGACAATCCGCGAATAATGACAGAATTTCCATGCCCAGAGCAAAGTCCCATCCAACTGTAATACATGATAATGAGACTTCGGGTATGACGACACTTCGCGAATGAGGACACTTATCCGATGCCCCGCCGAGTGTCGTTATAAGCGAAGTTGACTGTGTCTGTAAATTCAGGAGGTGATATGAAATCGTATGTTGCTAAAACTCTACTCAAGTCGTGTTACCCATTCCGTGAGTTATCATGGGAAGTAGTGTTCGAAGTGCTGCAAATTACTCAGTATGAATCGGGAGTAGTCGGCCCATGACGCCGTATCCTGCTCTCCATCGATATGCAGCCGTTTTGCACGTTTGCGTCTCCGCGTATAGTATGACAAGCAGAACAGATTGGACTCTTCCCGTCGCTTTCAGGTTCGTACTGTAGTACGGCTGCATTCCCATTCCTTGTGTTCACATTGATGACCGCCTGCAAACTGTGACCACTTGCTAACAGTGACCACCTGCAAACTGTGACCACCTGCAAACTGTGACCACATGCTAACAGTGACCACCTGCTAACAGTGGCAACCTGCTAACAGTGACAACCTGCAAACTGTGACCACCTGCAGACAGCAACCGCAGTTTGATTGCGCCTAGAGCGGGCACCTGAGTTAGACTTTACGTTCTTGCCACGGTATCTGTTTCTAAAAATCTCGCAGAGTCCATTGCAGCCGATTACACATCAGGGTCCCTCATCTCGAACACTAGATATGGTCTCTTTGCTGCATACGTCGCTTGAAATGTTCACCACATTTTCAGGCCAGACTCAGTACCAGAGACTTCATTCTTTGCTGTCTTATTTTTTTGTGTGTGTGTGGAGATAGGCAACAATGAACAGAATATGCAAGAGTCGCACCAACAAAGCTAACCTTGACGTGCCTCTAGTGTTTGTACTGCTGAACACAGATGCCTTTTCATCAGAGGGATAATAGGCAATTCACGTGAGGTGCAAACTCACCTTTATCGTACCGTTTCCAAGGATATTTATTCGTGTACGATAAAATCGTTGTCTTCTGATGATGTTAGTCGTGTATCCGATGTCATACTGGCAAGGGCAGACCTGTAATACCGGCAATGGGAAGTTACTGTAACCGGCTGTTTTAATAGAAAAAAGGTGGCTGCCCCAAGCGTTGCGGCTCGCTCGTGGATGACCCAGCATTCCTCTCGTGTGCTCCAGGTGGCAGTCAGTCGGCAGGAAGCACGAGCTCCAACGTTTGGAGCAGCCACCTTCTTCTTCAATTAACGGCAAGATTGTAACATCTCAGTTACGCTGGTCAATATGCAAGAATGGGGCACAGCTGAAGGAGTGCTGAATGAGCTAGTGAATCAGTATATCAACGCTTCAGTCCCTGATTCCAACATATACAAGCACTGGGGTCTGTGAAGAGATACGCGTCAAGGCAAGGGTACAGAACCCAGAGGGTGCGACCCGGGGTTATTCCTGTGGGAGCGTAATCCGTGCAGTGCATCATTTCTGACGGCATGGCAAGTCACTTTGTACGGCGAGAAGTTGTGTAACCAGTCGCGGTGGTGCAGGTCAATGAGTTTAGGCCGATTTAGGTTTTTTTTATGGAGAGTATGGTGAAAATGCATGACAGTGTATGTAGGAGTGTACACCGTCACCAAGACACACACCGAAACCCTAAAGCAGGACGGCTAAAATAATACAAACTTGGCTGATTTCCGAGCTGTGAAACGCAGCAATTTGAGCTGTGGGCGAGTTGCAGCTGCAGACATTGACATTGACATTGACCGTGAAATTATCGTCTCCAGATCGAGTACTCTGATGTGTTCCTTACTCCTTCCATTGTATGTGCGTTTATCTTGTTTCCAATCCCTGTGTGTTTGTCTTGGTTCCTGTGTCTGTGCATATTCCATCTAACAGACTCCTGGCACACAATGATATTTCCTCTATACCGCACACGTCGCTCATTGCCTCGAAAGCTGTACCCAAGCTTCATCAATTGTAGGTGGCGTGAGATTGTTTCACGTTCGTAACGCAATGCAAACGAATAGTTTTCAAGTATCTCGTGCCGTCCTCTGCTTGCAGGTTGTGCCGTCCTCTGCTTGCAGGTCGGGCCGTCCTCTGCTTGCAGGTCGGGCTGTCCTCTGCTTGCAGGTCGGACCGTCCTCTGCTTGCAGGTCGGGCCGTCCTCTGCTTGCAGGTCGGGCCGTCCTCTGCTTGCAGGTCGGGCCGTCCTCTGCTTGCAGGTCGGGCCGTCCTCTGCTTGCAGGTCCTACGGTGTGCTACACAAGTATAGACCTCAACACCTTAAGCCCATTGCGCGATTACGTACTTTGTACGGGGCAACACCCCACACAGCCACCTGGGCATGGTCGTCTGGGGTGTTGAACAGTGCATTGCTGATCCCAGCGTATTCACATGCATTACTCATACCTTCCATATTTGGCAATGGGCTTATAAAATCAGCATGTACCGTACTCACTTGATTAGAAGCCCCTCTCGAATAAAAGCCCCTCTTGAATAATGGCCCCCCTACAAGGACTGTTCGGAAAAATACAAGCCCCTCTCGAATAGAATGCCCCGATTACTATTCGCAAGCACCGGGTGACCATGTATGAAGGTCAAGTGCGCGAAAGAACATCTCGTGCATGTTCATATTGGTATATGACCGGGTCTACGTAGTTTGTGCGAACTAACTCGGGGCTGAGTTGCTGTGAATATGGTAGTTTTAGAGGTTCAATAGGAATGAAACAATAAAAGCCCCTCTGGAATAGAAGCCCCTCTTGAATAGAAGCCCGTCTTGAATAGAAGCCTCCTCAAAATTTGTATTGAAAAAATAGAAGCCCCCGGCTTCTAATCGAGTGAGTACGGGTATACAACTTACTCTGTAACAACTTTGGGGATAAATTCTCCCGAAAATGGGCATTGGTATCCAATCTCTTAGAAATCGAGGCAAGAACAATTGAAGAACTGTCTGAGCAGTACACTGAAGAAATGTCTCAAAAGCGGGGGGGGGGGGGGGGGGGGGGGAGCCCATACCAAATCAATTGAATGCAATTAAGTTGTGGGCTAAGGGGCCGTCCAAGGTCACCAATAATATTTTCAAAACGAAAAGATTTCGTTTGGGGGTGGGTGGGTTTGATGGAGTTTCGTTTTGAAAATAATTATTGAATGCAGATGGAGAATCCCCAGTTACTTCTGGGTGTCGAAAATTGAGATCAATATTATATTGGAATTCGTTTTACCTGCAGAAAAGGTGGGTGGGTGGGTGGGGGCTGAAAGATACTAAAGCTTTTCGTTTTGTAAAAACAATCGGTAACCCCGGACGATCCCTAACAGCCACACCTCAAATTGCACTGCTTTCTAAACTTTACTCAAACTTCTTTTATTCTTTCAATGTTTCGGTCTATGACCATCATCAGCCACCTTTATTCATCGTTTTTTTTCTTTTTCCTTTTTTACTATGTTCACATAACCAGCTCGAAAAGAATAAGGAAAGACAATGGTACGGAGACTAGGACAAACGTGACAACTAATGAGCAGGCGCTGTGGCGAGACGCAGCAGTGATGGTTGAAGGAATAAAAGAAGTTTCAGTGAACAGTAGAACGTTGTGCAATTTGAGGTGTGGCTGTTAGCACACAATTTTATTCCACACAATGAAGCTACAAGATGCATCTCACCAAGAGTACATAACCCCCCAGAGTGTGCAACGCCTGATCCAGCTCTGTATAGGGTCTTGGTCAAGCGCAGTCGGATCTTTGCGTCATAATACCGTACACATCTGAGGGGAACCCGGGGAGTCGCGGGTACTCTCGGATCAAAATGTACGACTAAATAAATCCAACCAACCAACCAAAACAACAGTGCCCCGCCTCGAGACTGGCCTTGTGCCGGTGTGGAGTGTACGCATGACATCAGAAGATATGACTACGCTCAACCAAGACCCTATGCAGAGCTGGATCAGGTGTTGCACACTCTGGGGGGGGGGGGGGGGTATGTACTGTAGTAGACACACTTTGTCCAACACGAATCACTGTGTATTACTATGTATTGTACTATCCATTGCTGGCACCATCAGATCCCTTGCTTTCATTTAGAGATCGCTAGCTAGCGCTCGGAGCTGTAACTGGAAATCTCGTACCGTATATAGATCCGCCTGTCAGCCCCCCAGCTCAGTTGTTGCAGAGTCTTTACTTCCGCTGTTTCTGTAGTCGTCCCTTCCCTTGAGTCTTCCAATATACTAGAAGGTCTGTGCTATCTACGTTTGTTTTTCGTGCAATATTGTTCCCTGAGACTACTCCTTGTGTTTTGAATCGGAGAGACTGAACCAGTTTTGCCTTGTCACTCGGCCGCGTACTACACGTACTACATGTACTCTTGATCTCAACACCCTGGTCATGTTGCCGTGAGTTTGTGCCCTGAGCACATGCCGAGACTCGCGGCTGCTTCTGGGCTATCCTCTGTTTGTCATCATGTGCACATGGCACCAGGTGCCAGAAGTCTACTTACAGATGCCAGAAGTCTTCTTCCAGGTGCAGGAAGTAAACTTTCAGGTGTCAGAAGTCTACTTCCAGGTGCTGGAAGTCTACTTTCAGGTTCCGGATGTCTACTTCCAGGTGCTGGAAGTATACTTTCAGGTGCAGGAATTCTGCTTTCAGGTACCGGAGGTCTACTTTCGTAACCCATAGTCCTGAAGCTTGGTATGGTTTTCACCCCGGAGACATTGCATGTGTCTGGCTCCCCGAAAGCATGCCACCATGGAGAAAGCATGCTCACCTGTGTCTGAGTTGCCGCCAAACACTCCGCCGAACCAAAGAGAGAAAAGAGAGAGAGAGAGAGAGAGAGAGAGAGAGAGAGAGAGAGAGAGAGAGAGAGAGAGAGAGAGAGAGAGAGAGAGAGAGAGAGAGAGAGAGAGAGAGAAAGATGGGGAGAGAGAGAAAAAGAAAGAGACACAGAGAGAAAGAGAAAAAGAGAAAAAGAAAGACACACGGAGAGAAAGAGGGACAGAGAGGGGAAGAAACAGAGTTCAAAAGAATGTGATTGTGTGATTATGTTTGTTTGTTTGTTTGTTTGTCTGCTTCATTGGAGCTTTGTTGTTGTTGTTGTTGATGTTGTTGTTGTTGTTGTTGTTGTTGTTGTTGTTGTTGTTGTTGTTGTTGTTGTTGTTGACTTTTATTTTACTTCACCAATTGCACAGGCATGATTGCCTTTTTACCGGCCTATAGGTCCGGTTCTCACAGAAAGATGAAGGAAATTATATGAGGAAATGTATAGAGATAAAGACATGCAAGCGGTATAGTTATTATTTTGGAAATGTTTGTTATGACATTAAGTGTATGCTGACACTCAATTTGTGTGATTTTTTATTGATTTTTTAAATTGCGATAACAAATAATATGTTGCGGAAGCATTTCATGAAAATATATGTGTGAACATTGGCAGACTTTATTGGATGGGCACAAGTTTTAGCAGTCCAGGGAACATGAAGTACAGCGAGAGGTGTTTGACTGTTGGCATAGAGTTTACAAGTTAAGTAGGTCAATATCAGATAGGGCTCTCTTGAATTGATCGGCAGCAGTTATCGATTTTACATCAGCCGAGAGGGCGTTCCATGCAATGCTGCCGTGAAACATCATACTCGAGCGACCACAGGCCCGCGAAGGAAAGGGATTTGGAGAAAGTTGGAGACTTGGCCCCTAGTGATGCGCTGATCGTTTAGCACGGTGTTTGGAGCAGTCGTTGTAAAGAGTTGCTGTAGGAGTGGGCTACAATATCCATTGATACAGCGGTGAACAAAAATTAGAACGTTTTGAGTGTATGTGTGTGTGCCAGGCTGACAATACTAAGAAGTGCCAGAAGCGGTGGGGTGGGGGTGAGAAAGCGCTGTTGCAAGGTTACACGAATGCCGGCTTTGAAACTCTTCTCCAGACGTCCAAGCAACTGGGCAGAAAGCCAAGGAACAAAGCTATTCGAACCATGGCATAGCTGAGAGAGGACCATGCTAAGGAACCAAGTGCGTCTTGCGCGCAAACTGAGTCCTTGACCATGCCTCCAGAGCTGGCCAATGGTCCCAGCAGTCTTGCGGCTCAGGTGTGCAATTTGGGGCTTCCAGGACAGCTCCTCATCGAGTATTACCCCGAGATACTTAGTCGAAGGTGTGACAGCAAGTTTGTCGGCATGGCAGAACACCTCAGGCCGTGTATCGTCTGCAACACGGGGCTTTATGAAGAGAAGCTGGGTTTTTGCTGCATTCAGCAGCAAACCAATATCTTCTAGCTACCTGGCAAGGCTTGTGATGGCGTGGCTGAGGGTTCGGCATACTTCAGTGGGGTCGGTGTCTGAGCAGTCGAGAGTAATGTCGTCCGCAAATTCTTGGTGGTTTACCGCCGGTGGCAGGATCGTGCTCAATGTGCTAGTGTACAAGACAAATAGCAGGGGAGTGTTGTGTAGATGCCTAAACAAACTGCCGCGTCTCGGTGCAACCCCTACTCAGTAGTTGTCCCGTTTGTCCTTGTCTCAGTACCATTGTCTTTCTGTATTTACGAGTGAACATAGTAAAAAATAATAATAATAATAAAAAAAACTTCCATTCCTTCAATGTAATAACTTTGCCCGATGCCCTATGCCCTTGTTTTGTTTTGTTTTGTTTTCGAACAGGGACCTGACTGGTAATACCATAACTCAGTTCAGTATATCCAATTTCCCTGACATGCATACCCTGTAAGATGATTGCTTGCTCTCAGTCTATCCTGTTGAGCCCTGAATCTATATTAACTATGTGTGCATGAGTGTGTGTAGGGGGGGGGGGGGGGGGGGCGTGTGTATGGGTGTGCGTATATGGGTGTGCACGTGTGTGTGTGTATGTGTGTGTGTGTGTGTGTGTGTGTGTGTGTGTGTGTGTGTGTGTGTGTGTGTGTGTGTGTGTCCATCCGAGTCCATCCGAGTCCACTCTTGTTTATTTACTCGTTATAAAAGGAAGGACACATCTTATAATGAGTTGTGGCCCAGTGTCCACCACTGTAACACATTCGCATACAGTCAGCTAGTGTGACAGCAGTAGCAGTCCACATGTTCACATGTCTGCACTAGCACCGACTACACCATGTGACAGTAGTAGCAGTCCACATGTCTGCACTAGCACCGACTACACCACGGCGTTGAAGAACACAACCAGCTTAGGAAGTTTCGCTTGTGTCAGGCCACCACCGCCACCACCACCACCACCACCACCACCACCACCACCACCACCACCACCACCACCACCACCACCACCACCACCACCACCACCACCACCACCACCACCACCACCACCACCACCACCACCACCACCACCACCACCATCACCACCACCATGCCTGGCATACCAAGATGGTAGATGCAGCGCCTACAGTACATTCACAAAAAGATTGGCCCTGGCTCTGGCGAGCTCCCGTATTTGGCGATTTTTCAAGATTTTATCGTACACAGTGCAGTGCTGCGAAGTTTGAAATTTGAAAAAGGTTTCAAAATGGGTACCTGAACTGGGGTTCGAACCGTACAATGCACTGTTGCAGGCAGGATCGAACGGCCTGGATTTTGAAGGTCTTTCCCAATTCAGTGTTCTTGGGGCAAAACCTGGCCGAAATACTATTCTTGTTACGGCTTGATTTTTGGAGAAATAGACTTTAGAAACATAATTGGAAGAGGATTCCATTGGGGATTGTAGAAAAAATTCTAAAAAAAACTCAACGTTGGACCCATTTAGGGTGCAAGGTTACCAATAGTATTTTCAAAACGAAAAGTTTTCATTTGGGGGTGGGTGGGTTTGAAGGAGTTTCGTTTTGAAAATAATTATTAAATGCAGATGGAGAAGGCCCAGTTACTTCTGCTTGTCGAAAATTGACATTTTATTTTATTTTATTTGAATTCGTTTTACCTGCAGAAAAGGTAGTTGGGTGGGTGGGTGCTGAAAAATACTAAAACTTTTCGTTTTGCCAAAACTTTTGGTAACCCCGGACGGCCCCTTATGGCCAAAAGCTAGAAGTCCATCTTTTTCTGAATGGACTGTAGTGGCAAGGGTGTGAGCTGGTAAGTCTGACAAACCTTGTTAGCTGCATCCATGTCACCCTCACTCCCAGTATTGAACCATCTGAATACGCAGCAGCTGACCGTGGGTGGCGGCGCAATTCATCCCAACATGGCACAAAACTGATGAGGAGTACTACAATAATAGGGAGGTTTCGCTCTACGTAATTACGTATCAAAATCCGTATGTCGTACGCGCTGGGGAGCGATGGCAACTTTCATACGTAAATCTCTCTACGGATTTCCGTAGGAAAGCTCTTTCCTACGTTCGGTCCTCCGTAGGAATTTTTGAAATATTTTTTTCGCATTTTCCGCATTTGTCCATGGCAACGTTCAAGCCGCGCGAAACACAAGCCTGTGACAAGGTACACACACCGTACACCACATGCAAAATAAAATGGAAAACGCGGTTTCGGTTCATGGTGCATGCGGTGGGCGCATGCAGCCAACACGTCTCCAAAGCATAAACGCGGGTTTTGCAGTCGTGAAGAAATCACGTAGAGCGAAACCCAACAGCTCTTATTTTTACGTATGAAAATTCCGTGCAGTTCCTACGTTATTTTCATACGTAATTCCGTAGAGCGAAACCTCCCTAATAAGTAAAATTCTGTGTTGTGTTTATTTTCCTGCGCTGTAGGCGACTTTCTAGCAATGGAATTACGGATTTGACCAGATTCCAATTCGCACCTAGCAAACTCAAGTTCCTGTATGTTGGCGTCGGCTAGCCTGACACTGTCTGTGTGTATGTGTGTGTGTGTGCGTGTGTGTGTGTGTGTGTGTGTGTGTGTGTGTGTGTGTGTGCGTGCGTGCGTGTGTGCATGGTTTGCGAGCTTGTTGGAAATGTAGAGGGGGGGGGGGGGTAGTGTTTGTGTATCGTTTTGAGCATGTTTGTGCATGTGTGTATGCGTTTGTGTGCGTTCATGTGTGTACCTAGGCCTATGGACTTGAAGCTTTGCGATGTTTGAACTTGGCCTGGGCTTATGCGCGAGCATGGGCTTATGCGCGAGCATGGGCTTATGCGCGAGCATGGGCTTATGCGTGAGCATGGGCTTATGCGTGAGCATGGGCTTATACGCGAGCATGGGCTTATGTGCGAGCATGGGCTTATGCACGAGCATAGGCTTATGCGCGAGCTTTGTGCACACGCCAGACAGTTTCTTGGGATCGGGAGAGCTTGATTTGACTGAATTTGACTGACACTGCACAAGAGGTAAAATTATTGTTCTTGCTGTGAACTGAAAGAAGACGACGACTAAAGCGCAAGGCGCTTGCGCAGAGCAAAAAAGGAGGAAAAAACATGGAGGAAGTCGCCAAGAGGCGAGTGAGTCAGTAGAAATAATAAACACGCGGCCCCGCTTCGGTGTGGGAACGCGGAAACAAACCGGGGTAGAGAACACAAACTATGACGTGTACTGCAAATAATCTCATGACGTTGAACATCATGTCAACGTCGTGACACTCCCCCGCAAGAGATGCAGAGAAAAGGAGATAATTCGTAACAAAGTAACGTGGAAACAAAACACAATAAGTGCATATATTACGCAAGGGTGAAAGAGAGTAGACCGTCACACACAGAGAGAGAGAGAGAGAGAGAGAGAGAGAGAGAGAGAGAGAGAGAGAGAGAGAGAGAGAAAGAGAGAGTTCAGATGTGAACTACCAACTGTCTAGCTGATTCAACTAAACAAGTTCGCTGCCAATTAATTGGCGAAGCGTCTGACGTTGCTTCTTAGCGGCAGCACGTTGTGGACGACTGGGTGGAGCAACAGCTGCTGGAACTGGCAGATCGGCTTGGCCAGTGGTGTGTGTGTCCGGAGCGGTGCTGTTGTTGTTAGCCTCGGAGTTAGCAGCAGGACAGATAGGGTACAGGAGAGACAGGGGTCGTTTGAGCTCTGTCTTCTCTGCAGTGATGACGGTTGCGGAACGTATCTCCATGTCCTTGCTTGTATGGAGAGCGACAATGCGACCAAGTCGCCATGAGCCACGGGGCATGTCATCCCTTATTAGTACAACATCGTCAACGGCTGGCTGTTCTGAAGCGGTAACGCGTGCCTGTCGGAGCTTCCGAGTGTGACTGTTGCGGAGATCAGCCAAGTAGTCGTCTCGCCAGACACGCCAGAACTGGTCCAATGTTCGTTGACCCTTCTTCCAGACAGAGAGAAGATTCTGAGCTGCAGTCGGAACTTCGATGTGGTCCGGATCGCCGTCATCAGCAGTGGGTTGCACGCCACCAGTAGTTGCGGACAGGCACAGAAAATGACTTGGGGTGAGTATCTCCTGCAAGTCATTGTCCACGTACACCAGTGGACGCGAGTTGACGACTGCTGACACTTCCATGAGAATGGTAGTCAGTTGCGACACAGTGAGGAGCGCGCGGCCAACGACCTTCTTCAGGCTTCGTTTGACTGTTCCAACGAGACGCTCGTAGAAACCACCCATCCAAGGTGAGATCGGTGGGTTATAGTGCCACTTCACACCAGTCCTCGACATGTACGACAGGACATCATCACTCGTTGCCATTTCTTCAAAGGCCACATCCAGAACAGACTTAGCTAGGATGAATTGTGGCGCGTTGTCAGACACTACCTCTTCAGGGCAACCACGCAACGACACGAACCTGCGGAACGCTAGCAGGAATTCCTCTGTGGTCATGTCTGCCACCAGTTCTAGATGGACAGCTCTAGTTGCCATACATGTCACTAGGAGGACCCATACCTTCTTGGTACTTGGCTGGTGCTTGACGAGCAGAGGACCGAAGTAATCTAGTCCCACATGGGTGAACGGGATAGATCTTGTTGCGCGGGCAGATGGAAGCGGGGCCATATCTGGGGTGCGGTATGGACCACCGTGGTGCTTCCGGCAAGTCAGGCACTTAGTGATGAATGACTTCACTGTTGCACGCCCTCGTGGTAACCAGTACTCGTAACGCAGTCTTGATAGCGTGTGTGCAACGCCGCCATGCATCGTCATCAGGTGACAATCGTTGATGATGAGCTGGGTGATGGGATGCGTTTGGGGAATCAGTACTGGATACTTTGCTTGATAGCAAAGTTCGGCGTTCTCCAAGCGTCCTCTGCATCTGATGAGGCGGTTCTCATCGAGGAAGAGCCGCAGCTTGTCCTTCGGGCTGTGCTTCTTACAATTTTCGACAGCACTGACGTCTGACAGATTCTGTTGTGCATGGTGTAGCCACATGATTTTGGCTACCTTGACCTCTGAGTTACAACTAGAATCCACCCCGAAGGACTTGCCGCCTTGTGGTCTCAACCTGGAGAGAAACCGCAAACACAGAGCAGAAACACGCACTAAGGCACTGAAAGACGAAAACCTGGCACAATCAATACCAAATGGTGGTTCATCACATGTTTTTTTTGTTCGTGATGCGCATCAGGCTTTTTTTTCATTTCGTGTGCAAGCTCAGTGTCTGGACCGGTGGACTCTGTTGGGTGTGATACAGGTGCAGGTATCTCCGAAGTGCTTGAAGGACCCTCCCCAGCGGCAACGTTGACATGGTGATCAAGTGCTGGCTCGGCGTGATGGTCAGCAGTGGCAAGGAAGTGTGGACCGTGCCACCATAGCGAGCTGGCTTGAAGGGAAGGAACAGAGACACCGCGTGAAGGCAAGTCGGCGGGATTGTCGGCAGAGCGGACATAGCGATAGGCAACATCGGGAACCGCACGAATGGCATCAATACGGTTGTTGACGAAGACAGGTAGTTTGTCAGAAGAGGCCAGCCAATGGAGAACTGTGGTGGAGTCTGACCATAGAAAGGTAGAGGAGAAAGTGAGCGGAAGTTCCCGACGGACGAATTGGATCAGACGAACACCGAGAAGCGCGGCCATTAATTCCAGACGTGGAATGGTAGGTGAAGCAACAGGTGCAACACGGGACTTGCTGATTAGAAGGTTCGACGTGTGTTGATCGTCAAACGTAGTAGTAAGGTAAGCAACGGCACCGTAAGCCAGCCCAGATGCGTCGCTGAAGACGTGGAGAGAAAACCGAGCGTCGCTGGCACGTGGTGCACTGATGAATCGTGGACATTTCGTTGATGCAGCAAGTTCAAGTTGAGCCGCAATATCACACCATCTACAAATGATGTCTTGTGGAAGGTCGTCGTCCCAGCCGACGTTCAGCTTCCAAAGATCCTGAAGCAGAATCTTCGCACCAACAAGAACAGGAGACTGGAGACCAAGGGGGTCAAAGAATTGGGCAGTATGTCGAAGGATACTCCGCTTCGTTGTGGCCGACTTGGATACGGCACTGACAGGTGCAATATGTAGAGTATCATGTTCTGTATCCCACAGCATACCGAGGCACTTGTGGATAGTACCCTTGGCTCGGTCTGGTTCTGGAATGCTGCTAAGAAACTCTGCAGAATTACTAGACCACTCGCGAACATTCATAGACGCAACACTGAAGAGGCGCTTCGTGGCATCATAGATAGCAATCGCCTCCGTCCCAGAGTTGGCACCAAGGAACAGGTTGTCAACGTAAATATTGCGAGACACTAGGTCGGAATCTGTTGTATCAGCAGCGCTAAGATGATGCTGAATAGTGGCAGCCAAGAGATATGGACTGCTGACAACGCCAAACGGAACACGACAGAAACGAAGTTGTCGTATGTTGTCTGGAGTAGCTGAGCTGGATGCATCGTGCAGCCATAGGAAGCGGGTCACGTCACGATCATGTGAGTGCAGACCAATCTGCAGAAAGGCCTTTTCTACGTCTCCACTTATGGCTACCGGAGAAAGACGAAAACGAAGAAGAATACCGCAAAGGTCTGGAACAAGATTGGGGCCAGCGTGCAAGCAGTCGTTGAGACTGGCGAGTTTTTCGGAACATTTTGCGGACGCATCATACACTACCCTCAGCTTCGTGGTAGTAGCAGTAGGTTTGAGTACTGAATGGTGTGGAAGGTAGTGAATCTGGTTGGTTGTAAAACCACGAGGAACATCTTCTATCATGCCCCTGTCAAGCTGGTCTTGAATCACGGTATCGTACTGGTCAAGAAGTTCCGGATGGGCTTCGAGGCGACGCACTTGTGCCTTCAGGCGACCGAAAGCCAGACCGTAGTTTGTCGGAAGAGGAGGATGTGAGTCCCTCCAGGGCCAACTCACCGCGTACCGACCCTCGGCAAAGGAGATGGAGTTGGCGAAGCGCTCGCCCACAAGATCTTGCGACGACGTATCGTCAAAAGTACCCAAGCTCTCTGTCGACCAGAACTTACGGAGGTCGAATTCAGGGTCCGTGTCTGTTTGATGAGCAAGACATGACTGCGCCTCTGTGGTGGCAGGCACAGGCAGACTGCCGGTACAGATAAAACCAAGAACGGAGTCGAGCAAGACCAGACCACCGCTTAGTTCGGTGCGGTCCTTGCCGATAATATCATAATAGTGATCGAGACCAATCAAGACGTCTACGACCATGGGCTCTGCGCTGCTGGAGAGCGGTTCTGCAAGTGGCAGAGACTGTAGAAGAGGAAAAGAAGAAGCAAGTGGACATCGCGCAATTGGAGCGGTTATGTTCGGAAGTACACTGGCCTGAATCGCACGAGTGGACCCATCCTTACACTGCATGGTCAAACTCACCTTGGCGTACACGGTACTTTTTCTTTTGTTGTTCCCAAATGTAGCCAAGGAGAGTGTTTCATTTCCGATTGTGGGCAAATCGAGCTGATCTCGATAAGCTTGCGTGATGTATGTCTTGGTGGAGCCGGTATCAAAGAGAATACGGCCATTGATCGGCTTCAGCTTGGAGGAGAGAAACGGTGCCACAGCAGTTTGCATCATGATCTGGTGATCGGCGTTTGCGACCGTGCTCGTGGCAGGCTTGGGTTTGAAGGACTGAGCATTCGGGCTCATAGTGGAAGCTTGCCTCTGAGTGGATGCGGCAGTGAATTTATCTGGACACAAGCTGCTGTGGTGTGCAGGATTGTGGCAATAGAAACACCGCCGTTTGCTAGAGCAATCGTGCACGGAGTGGCCTGATCGCAAACACTTGAAACACCTTTGTTTAGCTACGCTCTTCCTCGCTTCTACTGTAGTGTATTTATTGCATTCGTCAGAGAAATGTGCCTCCGAACTGCAAAAAACACACACTCTCTTGGGCTTCGCTTTTGAAGTAGCTGAAGCTGAGGCAACAAGAGATTGACCGGACGCACTGGCAGATGGTGATTCGTGCGATTTTTTCGGTGGCTGGCTGAGGCGATCTGCTGCTTCATTCGCTATTATGAAGTTGGCTACTGCAGCGCGCAAGTCCGAAACGGTCCAGGATTGTGGCCCCTTTTTTAATTCCAAAGCCGCTAGCGTGGTGCGTGGCAATTTGTTCGTAATCATTGACACAAACACCGCCTGATTAACATTCTCACCAAGCGCTGTGAGGCTTCGCAAGTGCACCTCCAACGCATCGTGCAACCTACGCAAAGATGGAGTAGCGTTGGACGCAGGCGGTAAGTCCATGATTGCCGTGTAGTGTGCATTGACGCGAAGCTGATCATTCCCGAAACGTTTGCGGAGAATGTCAAGCGCGGTTGTGTAGTTGGTATCTGATATGGGCAAGCCAGCTATGGCATCCCGAGCCAAACCCGTTACGTGATCTCTTAGGTACGACAGTTTCTGGACACCCGACAACCCTTGATTCGCATCAATAGACGCAACAAACATATCGTGAAACTCAGCCCATTTCAGGAAATCACCAGAAAATGTTGGTATTTCAAATTTGGGCAAATTGACTGAACTTGTGGGAGCTGGTTGTGGTTGAGGTGATGATGCTTGCATGTGTTGTACGACTAGTTGGTGTTGTTTGATTAGATCCTCTTGCGACTGTAATACTTGCTGGTGTTGACTATGTGTAATAGACTGCGTACGAACAAGATCTCCTATTGACTGTTGGATGCTGGACAAATCAACCATACTAGTTTCTTGTTTGATACCCGCACTGCCCGTACTCTTGGTGCTACTTGGTGAGCTAGTACTAGTAGTAGCAGCTTCTGGACGGTTCGTCTGGGCTCTGTACTGCGGAGATCGCTTGCATTCAACAATTGACCCTCTGATGCGTACCGAATACGCAACCACATCGCAGATCTCCGTTTGCAGAGCCTCATCTGAACCCTCCAGAGTCTCCGAGTCCAAAACACTGGCCAATGCATCACACGCCTCATCATATGCGTACAATTCTTCAACAATACAATCCACAAGTGTACTTAGCTTTTTTGGATCCGAGTCCACGTGTTCTGGCGACAACTCGTCGGCCCTTTGACCTCCTTCCTTCGATAAAAGGAGTTCGGCCTCTTTGACGAGTTCGTCGATGGATCCTTGCAGCTGCGCGATCTTGGCCCGGCGCATGATCTGCGTGCCGGTCGTCACTGCTCTCTTCGGCATGTTAGCTCGACGACCCAAATCGGGCAAGCTGCTTACAAATTATTTGAGTCGAGTCTATCTTTCTCAAGATTGGAATGGTACGCACGGCTCGTTTCGAGCTCCGGTGCGGTTCATGTCCCGGGTTTCGGCACCACTTTGTGCACACGCCAGACAGTTTCTTGGGATCGGGAGAGCTTGATTTGACTGAATTTGACTGACACTGCACAAGAGGTAAAATTATTGTTCTTGCTGTGAACTGAAAGAAGACGACGACTAAAGCGCAAGGCGCTTGCGCAGAGCAAAAAAGGAGGAAAAAACATGGAGGAAGTCGCCAAGAGGCGAGTGAGTCAGTAGAAATAATAAACACGCGGCCCCGCTTCGGTGTGGGAACGCGGAAACAAACCGGGGTAGAGAACACAAACTATGACGTGTACTGCAAATAATCTCATGACGTTGAACATCATGTCAACGTCGTGACAAGCATGGGCTTATGGCCATGGGCTTATGCGCGAGCATGGGCTTATGCGCGAGCATGGGCTTATACGCGAGCATGGGCTTATGCGCGAGCATGGGCTTATACGCGAGCATGGGCTTATACGCGAGCATGGGCTTATACGCGAGCATGGGCTTATGCGCGAGCATGGGCTTATGCGCGAGCATGGGCTTATGCGCAAGCATGGGCTTATACGCGAGCATGGGCTTATACGCGGAACTCTAGTATCCAATGCTGTAAACAGCAAGCTGGCACGACAGACTGAGTACAACTGTCGTGGACATGGAAATCCGGTCGCACGTCTAGCAGCCCCAGGGCGCTGGCCATGTAGCCGTGGATCAAGGGGTACACACGTAACATGGATTTTATGCGCTGCGCCTGCAGGCTGCAGCGTGCTGGTCGCATCAAATCAACACGTGCACTGCACACAGCGTTCTGAACGCACTGAGGGCACCGGCCCCGGTCAATCGACTGGATTTCCATGTCCGCGGCAGTAGTATGAGGAAACATGATTAGGCCATAATTTGATTTGTGAGCAACACTGGCTCACACTCAAATCACTGCTTTTCACCAGAAAAATATTTTATTTCAACGTTTCGGTCATGAAATAACCATCATCAGGAATGAAGCGGGCACACCGGTTAGGATGGGTTAGTAAATGCGGCTGATTAGGCCGTGTAAAATATATTCATTGTTTTAATATCGTCAGATTTTCCCGAGAAATCTGGGCGGACGGGTGGTTTTTAATTGTATTTTTTGTTATGCAAGTATGGTTGGTAGGGTATGGTTGGTAGGGTACGTGTTGGCAACCCCCAAACATGCATTTTTCTTCGCTTTTCTTTATTTTGAAGCCATTTTGGCGCAGAGTAAGAACTAAGGTACATGTAAATCCATGTGATGCAGATGAATCGTCAGCAATGAATAATAAATGTCTTGCAAGACAATTACTATTTTGAGGATTCTAATAATGAAAAGTGTAACGACCAAGGTTAGGTAAAAAAAGCGAAGAAAATCAGGCAGCTGCATGATGATCAGTTTGACTTGTCAAGCCCATAGCAACTATGGTTTGGTTCAGTCTGTGGACTTGACCTGCGAAAATCTACGGCCATGCTGATTAGAGGCCGTAGACCGCAGTACATACAGTACATTTACCAGTGCTAAAAAAAAAAACAATTTGACCGGGAGGGTGAAAATTTGGGGCGAGCGCTTACGATAAACAATCGATTTTTTAATTAACTCGGATACGGAACCAATAACAAAATGTAAAATAGAGGAGAACACATGGGAGCGCGTTATAAAGCAACTGTCCACACTTTGTGACCGCTTTGCTTGATCGTTGCTTGAACTGCTTCTCTTCTGAATAGACGTCTGGATAAAAACAATCTGACTAGCGTCACAACCAATGTCTTCAAAGACATAAGCACTCTACAGGGCTTGTAAGTCCCCTCTAATAGAACTTGTGTGTGCGGGGGGGGGGGGGGGGGGGGGGAGATGGGGGAGGTGTGTCTGTATATGACTCCATGTGTGTGTGTGTGGGGGGGGGGGGGGGGTGGAGGTGTTTCCGTATGTCTCCATGCATGTGTCTTTGCATCTTTGCTTTTTCCACGAGTTTTCTGCTTGTGTGTGTGTCTCCAGGTATCCATGTGACCCTGGTGTGTGTTTGCATGCGTGCGTGCATGTGTGTGTTTGCATGCGTGTGTGTGTGTGTGTGTGTGTGTGTGTGTGTGTGTGTGTGTGTGTGTGTGTGTGTGTGTGTGTGTGTGTGTGTGTGTGTGTGTGTGTGTGTGTGTGTGTGTGTGTGTGTGTGTGTGTGTGTAATACAAAATATCTGCATTGGCGAGAAAGGGTAGCTGCAATGCATGGCATTTTTGAAGTCAATTGAACCTCAGAACATAGCAACTGCATACTCACGGCGGAAACTGATTCAAACTTCACCAAAACAGGGATTTTCACTACTTTTGGACTCAAATCCCTAACAAGCAATCTATTATGAACAATTAGTTGGTTTTAATATACAGGGGCGTCACACACGGTACGACCACTACGACCATGGTCGTACCACTTTTCGTCCAGGATGGTCCACCCAATTCATCCGAAAAAGCAATAAAAAAATTCAAGGATCTTCGGACTTGTACAAAACATCGCAACTGTTACTTTCATTGCAAGGAGCATACAGACTTGATGCCTAGCACTAGCAGCTAGATATTGCCCAAGACTCCAGGCGGCTATCCAATACGATAGGCGGTTGGAGTCACGGGTAGAGACAACCAGACGATGGATTCCTCACGGACGCATTCACTGCAAACTTGACGGAAACAGAGCTGAGCTGGCGGAGATCACTGGGTCCAGAACTAAAATTTTCCAAGATCTACCATGTTACAATGGTGATCAGCACGTCAAGAGACACTACATGTATGTCACTTGTCAGCTACAACATAATTATATTCTTTCCACAACGACACCTACCTAGTACCTCTGGCTCCTGACGATCTACTGCAAGCGGATTCGAAAATGCATTACACCCGCGAACGCAGCGCTTGTCAAAAGAAAAGGGAAGCGCTTCATTCTCCGAAGCTGAAAAGTGTTTGGACTGCTGCTCCACGGCGGCAGAATATTCTGCAGCTGTTCACCGACACGACCCGCGCCCGCTTCACCTATATTATAACGATTTACGATCGTTTCGTTCCCCGAGTTTTCTGGTAGCAGCAACAAGAATTGCGTCCGCGACGAAAGTCTCTCGCAAACTAAAGTCCTGTTGCCACGATGACAGAGAAGATTCCGCAAGCGCTTTCTTCTGCTTCCAGTGTTGTAGCTCTCCGGTCCACTGGCAGATCTTTCAATCCCACCGAACAAAAAAAGGGATCTTCTTCTCTCTCTAAAAACAACTAAAATTACTTCGCGACTGTCCAGGCGCTAGGCCGCGGCCGTGTACATAGTGCACGCGACGCGGCAGACTTTTGGCAGTTTTGCAGGACACGACATACGTTTTTGCACAGCGGCTGGCGCTAGAACGCGCAGCACGCTTGTACTTCGGATTTTGCGATTTTTTCGAGGGCAATGGCCCTGATCAGCTGAATCATTGAATGGGTTCCTTTTGCCTTGCTGGGCTACCTACGATGTACAGAAATACCAAAAATCCATGAGAAGTTTGTTTTTGGAGCTGGAGTGGGGTTGTCTAATAAGTGCTAGGGAACCCTCCTTTGCGGCTGTAGAGTGCTAAAACGTGGCCTGTTAGCCGAAAAACCCTTATTTTTTTCTCCGGGGGACACCCCCGGACCCCCCGTCGTACCACTCCCAGCCACCCTGTGACGCCCCTGATATAGCTATGAATAGGATGAAGGCCGCAGACATCACGCAACTACTTTACTTGTTTGACATGTATTAAAATATTTTTGTTATAAAATACACAAAGAGTTGGTGGACAAGCCGTTGATTATTCACTCTCATTGTAATATCAAAAAGAATTCTTTCTAGACCAAAGAGTGGTATATTTGATAACATTTAATAACGATAGAAATTTTTACGATACTTCTCCAGACGTTTCGTTGTTCTGAACAACATCGTCAGTGGATAAAGAATGAAAAAAAAATTCTTTATCCACTGACGATGTTGTTCAGAACAACGAAACGTCTGGAGAAGTATCGTAAAAATTTCTATCGTTATTAAATGTTATCAAATATACCACTCTTTGGTCTAGAAAGAATACTTTTTGATATAAAATACACAGTAATACATGTCAAACAATTAACGTAGTTGCGTGATGTCTGCGGCCTTCATCCTATTCGTAGCTATATCAAAATTATTATTGTATAATTAGTTGGTTGTTATGGAATTATCGATAGAACATCGAGTAATTGGTGTAATCATTTCAGCACTACAGTTTTTGCACGTCTCGTGTAACAGGTTTTTGCACGTCTGGCGGAACGGTTTTTTTTCACGCCTGCCGTTGCAGCTTTGGTTTGACTTTTTTGCCCGTTTGGTTTAGCAATGTTCGCACGTCCGCTATAGCTAAACATTCTACTTCACCCATCTTGCACCTCACAACTCCTACTCCTTCTCTTTTCCAGGCCTAGTGCTCCCTCTATTGCATCATAGTAGTACAGGTAGACTCCCTCTAATTCGAATACGGTATAATTCGAACAGTCCGTGTAATTCGAACTCTTTCGTCGTACCGATCTTCTGCAAGTCACTTCAAGTCAAATTCGAGTGCATAATTCGAAGTACGAAAAGTACGCCCGCTGGATAATTCGAACTTTGTCTTCGTACAAAAGAGCAGTTTACAGTACAGTGGCTATGCCCTTCAAGCGCTTATTTCGAAGTGAGATGGAGTTGCTCCACTCGTAATTCGAAGTTCATTTTTTCTCCTTCTTTAAACAAGAGTAACTATAAAATTTATCCCTGGTCCGCTCCAGGATCGACAATAGAGTTGAAGAAACCCACCTTCTCTCGAAACTTGATTCAAGCCTGTGCGAGGCAAAGTGCAAATATTTGATTGAGGACGACTTCTTCCAGGTGTCTGGCTCCCTTCGCGGATCTCAGTAGCTTGTCAGGCCGTGCCAGCTCATGCGCAGAGATGTTTTGGACGAAGCATTAACTGGAAGTCGTAAAAATAATTGTCTATGCCTATGCTCCACTTCCGTTTTTCAGAACGACATGGTTGCTCTCCGATGGGCTTTCATGACGCAGAGAAGGCAGCGCTGTTCTTTTCTGTTGAAATTGTTTCAGGACAGCTGCAGTGACTGACAACTTCTTCGCTAGAACTTCGTAGAAGACGAGGATAGTGTCCAATGACCTTTTGCAGATACAGTGACGGTTTTATTGAAATGAACTTGTCCCTTGTACATGACCACCCATGTTCCGTTGTTTCGCAAATAGAAAAGAATGTGCAAAAATAATCAGCATGCAATTTCGAGCATTTTGACATACATA